ACACCTTCCCCATGGAGGTAGAGAAATAGCATCTCTACCCGGGCAGGGGAACACACCACTGCCTCTGTGGGTTCTGGAGCTCCTTACTCTGGAAAACACAAAACAGTCCTCATCTACGCACTCCTGGAGGGACTGTCCATCCTTACCTGTTGATAATGTTACAGATGTGGTAGAAGTTTCCACAGTTGTCGCAGTTGAGCTTTCTAATGAAGGGAAAATAAGAGATGTAGTATCACTAATTAGGATTGCATGGAACACAGCAGCCTGTGATTGTGCTCCCCATGACAGCCTGGTCTGCAGTACTCTTTGGGAAGCATCACAGCAGCACCTGTGTCAGCATGGCAGGGATGTCAAGAAAAAAGATATGGCTTGGAGTTTGACCAGGGAGGACAAGTCCCTACCTCCTTCCCTGACCATGCTCCAAAGAACCACAGCAACAACTCCCTGCAGTTCCTCACAAGGGCGTGCCCTCTGGACAGGGGGACACAGTGCTGCCTCTGGCCTCTGCAGCTCCTAGAAACGGCGTAACCCTGTCCTAAGGGGCTGATGAAGGGACTTTTCATAATTACCTGGTGTTGCTGATGAAGAATGGTCGGCAGTAGTGTCCTCAGTTGTTGTCGATACGTTTCCTGAAGACGGAGAGAGACATGAGAGCAATACTTTGTGTTGGGGGCAGGAAATCTCTTGAGGAACCATTTTGTTTTAAGGAGAATCTCAGATTAGATGAGGAGCGGACCTTTGCATGGCCCAGTTCACCAACCATGTGTAGCCCTGTATGTTTTGCTCCAAGAAGCAAGATGAGCTTTCTGATGAAGGGATGAGACATGGTAGCATTACTTTGTATTGCATTTATGAGACGTCTTTAGGAACCATTGTATATGAGTAAGGATGTGTGGGTTCTGGAGCACCTGAGACTGAGTCATCCCCTCCTAAAGCTCTGCCAGTGGGCTTTCCCATCCTTACCTTCTGTTGTTAGTACAGTAATGGTGGTAGTACTGTTCCCAGTTGTTGCAGGTGTGGTAGCTGAGAAAGGGAAAAGAAGAGACATGGTAGCCATGCTTAGTGTTGTGTGGAAGAAAACCCTTGGGGCACCACTGTGTGTTCCCAAGAACCTCAAATTAAATAAGGAAAGGACATGTACGGGATCTATTGTAGACTAGTCCTGCACTTATACTGTCCATGGCACTGATAGCTCTTTAGGCTGACATGCCCATATTCTGAGGCTTGTGCATCCTCCCCAGAAGCACATGCCATTCCCTCAAGCACATACTTGATGTCCACAGCTGGCCCAATTACCAGCACAGATGTGTCTCCAAAGGAATGTTCCCCCCACTTGCTCCAAGCAGGTTCTGCATGGCTAGCACTCTCTGGATCCTGTTCTGGATCTCACCTAAATCCACAAATATTACATTCACTGCAAGGTAGATAGATATTTTTAAACTGTGGGACATGCTTTCTTGAGCCTCATTAAACATTCTTGATGGACTCTTTCAGAGCAGCAATGGAGAAATGGGTGTCTTTGCTAACACCATTCCCTCTCTGAAACAAATTCAGGTGTATATTGAAAGTAGTGTATTTCTGTTCATATAAGGCAAATTCTGCCAAATTATCATCATTGTAATGAAGATCCTTTTTCCAGGACTGCACTACTACCTAGTAATGATATTATGCATTATTTTTTTGTCTTTTTTTTTCTTCTTGTTTGTCTGTCTTATATTGAAAGTAAAGAAAGCAACTTTACAACAGTCTTGCTGCTAAATTTGTGGTTGCAATGAACAGTTTGGATCACACGACCTAACTTCAGTCTGTTACTTAATAAATGCATTTAATCTGAGTTAACATCACACTCATAATTTAATCTGAATAGCATGAGCTGGAAGTCTCATATATTTGTGGCTAACACTCTTGGCACTAGCAAACTCTTATAGTTGGTATATTAAATACAATACTGCAAATAACACTAAATTATCAAAAGATGCTTGAAAAATAGGCCCCTCTCTTCAAAAGCTTTTGCAAGTTTTCAAAAATCCAAAAGAGAAGCAAATTTAATAAGCCTTTTTCTTCTCATCAATAAAGCTGACTTGGAAAAGGCTCATCAAAAAGGCAAGGCCTAAAGTAATCCATTAGTGTGCTCTGGGTGAAGAGGAAATGTGGTTTCTCAGTCCTGCAGGCAGAGTTTTGTTTCCTGGTCAATGTCAAGAAATGGACATTTTGTCTAAAACCATGATTCTGTGTTGTCCACATGCAAAGAGTTTGGAGCACTGTTCTAAACTTCCTTCTCAAAATCAATTTTACATCACTAATGTCTTTAGTCAACAACGTTTAGCTTTGTACAGTACCCTTTGGACTCAGGAAGAATCACATCTGTGTGACTGCAGAGCACATGAGCTGCACTTGGGCTTGGCAGAGGTAACGTAAGCAAAGGTGACTCTTTAATGGCCATATCTGCCCAACCCCAACCTTCTGCACCAGGAAACAGGATGTGTCATAGATTCAGGCATTTACCATGGACATAAAGGAATAGATCTTAAGATCCAGGTTATGAAATAGCAGACATTGGCTACCAAGCAGAGTAGGCCTTTGTGAGTGCTCTGCAAGTGGACACATCATACAAAGCTTTTACAGTGTTTGCATAGAATGAAATAGGTTTCTGGGCATGGACAACTTTAGGCAAAATCTATACAAGTCAATGGAAGGCTCCCATTGACTTTGGTACTTCTTAGGACAAGATCTTTCAGTCTTACTGTTGTTCTCCAAACAGAAAACCAACCAACTGCCAAACTTGAAGTCTTCTATGATTATAATTTATAAATCTGATTGTAGTATGTTGTAGATGTTGCTGTAAATATATATATTCACTCGCAGTAGGTAACAGACTCACTGCCATCTGTCCCCATCTCATGCACTCTTGGCAGCATTAGTGACAGTCTTAATTTGGCTCATATCTCTGTACAATTGTCCCTGAAGTAAATGGGATTTCCTGTCCTTTCACAGCTTCAAGTTGCCACCAAGCTCCTCCTACAGCTACTTTTACTTTTACAAACTCCCCTGCTACACTTGATCTGTCACTGAATATCAGATACTCTGACCTGTAACCACCAAAATTGTTACAGTGCTAGAAAAACAATTAGGCGCCCTATGGAATGATTCCTGCCCTGTCTTTGAATAGACCACAGGGCAACTCTCTGCCATCTGAGCTGGTGGCGAAGTTCTTGTTAATTAGCTTCAATAGGAGGGGAATGAATGCTCTGAGAGCCATGCTCATGTTCAAGCAGTGCTGCTTTCCAGACTGATTGTTTAAGGAAACTCCGTCCGGTAGGGCAGCAGCAGCACACCTTTTCCTGGGTGCTGGGCTGGAACAGTCACATCTTTTGTGATGACTGTAATAGAGCTTGAATTACCTGGGTTTAGTGTGCAAGACCTGAAAACTGCTCGTGGAATAGGCTGAATTAGATTAATCACAAGCCCCAGTGCTTTTGCATTGTTCCATGAACAAGGAAAACTGTTTTCTTGCAGTAACGTTTTTCATCACTAATTAATCAAAATCTAGATGTTCTGAATAGTGCGTGGCCACTGACTTCAGTCTCTCAGCAGCTGCTAAAAGCACTGAGTAATCCATTCACCGCAATAGAATAGCTGCCCAGACAAATCCCAAAACAGAAGATAGTTTTTCTTACCTTCTGAAAGGCTCAACACCAAGCAAAGCAGCACAGTGAAGAACATAGAGCGTCCCATTGCTGCCTCTGCTGCTGCTGCTACTCCTCGCTAAACCTGAGATGAAGTGCTTTTCTTTTCCAGCGTCAGCTCATTTAAGGTCCCTGCCACAGGTAGGGAGTTCAGCCCCGAGCTGACGTCATGGTGGCAAGTGGCAAATGACAGATCCAAGCTGTTTTTTTCCTTCCTCCTCAAACTGGGAGGAGACTTCTGGACCCGTGGTATTCTTCCTGTAAGTTATAAACATTTGAGATCTGTTGACACAAGGAAGTTAATTAATGCTAAATACATTGACACAAACTGACAGGACACTAGCTATCCCTGCCAGTTCAGCAAACACTTTCTGTGTAATTTAGGTGGAGGGTGCTGTGCAGTCTGTTC